GCGAATTTAATGCTGGGGGGTAATCCTGCCATAAACTAGCAACCCATCCAGGGTGGAGTAGAAATACTCCTATTCGCCTCATGCTATAGAAACCGGGATAAGCTCCAGCCTGATGAGCCACTTGGCTCGTATGCAGACTTTACCTTTTACCCTTGATGGAGTGAAAAACTGGCTACTTACACTTAAGCCACAAAAAAGTGGCGTGAAAAGCATCACAAAACTAATCAAACTGCAACTTGATGTTATCGACTAAAGGGAATGAACGCACTCCTTGTGGAGAACTACAAAGGGGTTCAACTCCACTGATGATTTATCCTTTCACATTGAAAACGGTCTTTGATCGACGATTTTTTAAAAAAAACAAGACTTTTAAGACCTCTTTTATCGCACTGCAAAATGACTCTGCTCCAGATGGGGAAAACTGGATCTTTTCTAGAGGTTATGTGTCACCATTAAATTCAAGGATTTCGTATGCCTGCTATTTGATATCTCGAGAAGGGAAAAATTCTCCTCTACAGGCGTCTAAAGAGAAGTCATTGCCGAGATATTTTGGTTCCTTGTACCCCAAACAATGCTGCATGTGCTTTCACACCCGCTTCTTACACATTTTTAGTTTCCCTTTTGCAAATAGTTTTTGAAGTCTCATTGTCTGTAAAAGAATCTTTGTCTTGTCCACTTAAAGGTTTATATGGTGGCCCATATACTGGCCTCCTAGAGACTACGATTTAATAATAGTGTTCTTTCCTAATGGTCTGTAGATTGTGGGTCTGTTGGATCGTCTGGTAAAGAAGGAAGATCAAACAGCTACTGTGCCGCTATTGGCTGACATACCTCCTTATGTGGATAACTGTAAGATTGTAGTCTGCAATGAACGTGGAGGAAATACTGTACAGACATTCGGAAATACAGCTAACAAGTCAGGTACATACAGCAAGTTATTAAGAGTTTTCTTCTCAACGGGGCGGACTCTCATGTTAAGTGGGCAGCAGGGCAGGGGTGCTTGTCGGAAATTTTGAGTAACGGGAATTTTGAAATTTTGAATTGCGGTTAACCTCAAAGGGGACTGATCTGGGCGTCGCCTAAGCGTGGATTGAACCACAAAAGATACATTTCTACACGGACACAACACTGAGACCTTTAGTCAAGCCAATAACGATCAAGTACTTTAACCTGCTAAGAAATTTTATAAACCATCAGCACAGTGTGACGGGTAATCCTGCAAGATACCTTAAAGTAACAAAATCATGTTGTTTCTGTCCTGAAGGCCCTAAACGAGATCAAAATCTTAATTGTACAACGACCAGCATCCCCACCCCTTAACATGTAGTATGGGGGGATCTCTTTAACTGTAGTCCGTTTAAACCAGCACTTTATAACCATCCCCATAAGCTGTTATATAAGCGCTCTGACACTAAGTTTTGTTGATCAGTTGTAGGTCTTAGTTTTCTGTTGCTTCATCTTGGAGTAGATGCCTCTTCGCCTCTCAGCTTTGGAGGAGAGCTTCTAGATGGTAAGCATGAAATTTAAATTAGTTGAACCTCTGCTAGAGGACACCTTCCGTAGACAGACATCAAATTGTGATCCTGTTGATTTTCTTACTAAAATGCTCTTGTTAGCAGAAACATACACCCTGGTTCAAGTCTTGTTGGCCATAATAACATCTCATGAGTTGATAGTAGAGAAAGAGAATCAAGACTGAAATACACGACAAATTAGAGCTGCATCTTGCGTTAATACAATAAGGGCCCACTGAACAGAAAACAATGATCAGTAACTATGTGCGTATATCTAATAAAGGTGAAGCTAATAGGAAACATTGGTTAATAGTGGAGTCGACCGCAATCTACCAGTACTCAGCGAACTTTATGCCAGCTGAGAAAAAAACATCTTCTGAAAACTTGAACCTACGCGACAGTTGTTTGCCATTTCCATTTCATCTGAAATGCACTCATAGCAAACATACGGTACATACTGTTTCAGTGAATCCTTCACTTTTGAAATTCGATGGTAATTTTGAGTCGATTATATGGTTTGGTTAAAAAAACTCTTTGGAGCGTAGAAGAGAGAAGAAGCTGAAAAAGCTTTCAGGTTTATACAGAACTGGTATTTGTTAGGTATTTATTGCCTAGTCTCCCACGCCATGAAAACTTCACGTCCGATTTTTTTATATCAGATTTTAGGTTTAGACTTAACTCACTGTTTTACGTGCTTTAGACTATCATTAGACTTCGTACGTCTACAATAGAAAATGTTTACATTAAACGATTGTAATCAATTTACGTATGAATATCTCCAATTGCCAGAGAAAAGAGAGAGAAAAATACTGAACTACTGACTGATAAGTTGTCGTACAATCCACCATCTCCAAGGACGCTGTTTGATATCTCTGGTTGAAGTTTTTAAAATTTCTTTCACCGGCAGATGGTGTGCTACTTTTCTTCTCTAAGAGCCACACGCAAAAGCTCCGCGAAAGCTTGGCATCCAAAGCCAACTGTTATTTCTTCCTGGGCGATAAATTTAACATCGCACACTTCGAGCTGCGTTGGGTGCCAGACGTAAATTATCATGAATTACCAAAACCAGCGAAAGACGCCGATTTCCCAGAAAAGACAGACAACCGGTTGTCTGAAACAACCACTGCCGATACAACAGCAAAAGAAACCGGAGGCGATTCGTACCCAGGCACTGCGACCATTGACATTCGGTACTCGGGGTATGGGAACGAGGTTGAACTTCTGAAGAAAGTGTTCGATGACACTGGGAAGATTCTGAAAATCCTGGAAGGTAACATTCGGCTAGCGTGCACCGATCCACTCATGAAACACGCCAACAAGATGAGGCCTGGTGAGAACCAGGAGTTACAGCTTCGTGTTGTCCTGAGGTCGAGTTACAAGGTAAGAAAAATGTGGTGAGAAGTGCTCACATTTTCACAAACACAAACGCGCAAACGCAAACTTGAATGGCTTGTTCCCTCTATTAGACGTACCCGCAGGTAATCATGGTAGTTGTATTCATCAAAACAAATATCCAGTCCAAGGTGATGAATACAACTACCATGATTTTCTGAATACACGTCTTATAGAGGGAATTGGCCATTAAAAGTGCTTTACGACAGATAAGCCTAAGCTCCCCCTGTCGCAAAAGCAATAAGGGGTTGTCTTTCAATATGTAGCTTTGTCCCCACCTTGTCGTCCTGCAAACATTTCCCCGCAACTTTTTTCATGTCTGATGCCAATCCTTGCCGGTAACCTGACCAGAAATGCTTGCGCTGCTGGCTACTACGCCGTCGCGCAAGTGTAATGGGGACACTTTAGGTTTGGTTGACAAGCACCTGTTGACCCCCCACTTAATGTTGGAAACGTGGGGCATTTTTCAACTAAAATCATTTTCTCCTTTACAAGTGAGGAGGAGGACGGAGACGTGTTAAGTGTGGCAAAGCTAAAAAAGCTAGTAAAGCTTGTTGAACTAGTGATGGATAGTGTTTATTGTTGGTGTGGACATTTCTTTCTTGCCTCACAGGCTGCATTTTTATTAGCAGCACCAATTCTTAGCGGCAGCTGTTAGGGAAGGGATGGGGATGGAAGGCGTATTAAAGTCTGACACATCCTAGTGAGCTCTCCTTCCCTTCACCACCCACTCTAGCTACTCTAAGAGCTGCCAAGAGAGTTTGTTGCTTTAGACAAAATCGTGTTTAAATAAAAGATTGTTGTTGTTGCTATTGATCGCAGGCTAGCACTGAAAAGGGTTCAAGTCCTTGAGAACCCTGAACCCTGAGAACCCTCTTTGCTATGTGTGTTCGCGCAAAGCGCTCTTTGAATGATTGTCTTTAGGTTAAGGAACCTGACTAAGGTCTTTGTTGCATGTTTTTGTTGGCTATTTTGGGGATTGACCCTGCACAAAACCTGGCGAAATACAAAACGTGGTTATGTGGGCTCATACAACTAACCAATAGAAGCATTGCGATGATGTAATTCAGGCATAGTCAGTGAGTATAACACAAAAGATGTG